CTAATTTGGAGTCAATGGGCCCTAAATTGAGCAACTCATCACTTAAGGCCCAAGTTAATGAAGCCTTAAACCAGCCCATTCATACAAATCTTCCAAGGGTGACAGCAAGAAAATATATATCTATGTATGAGAACATTGAATCTCATAATAATTTGGATTTGGTTTTGAAATTTGCAAAATTGGATTTTAACATTGTGCAAAAGGTGCACCAAAGAGAGCTTGGCGAGCTTACAAGGTAAATACAATATTATTATATCCTCTTCATTCACATGAATATGGTATATACTAGTAACAAATGGATGGATTGAATAAGTCATAATAGGTCAAATTAATAATAACAGAAATACATATTTTTAGCCGTTTTAAAAAAGAATAACTGACAATTATATATTTTTGTATACATATGTAACATTTATAAAAAAAATGAACATATTTTATATATATTTTGGGCTAGCGAATGCAATTAGTACGGCCGACCAGCCAATTTTGTATTTTGCCTAAATGATAAATATGCCATGATCCAAAGTTTTCTTGGGCCAAAACGGGTCAAATAAATGGTCATAACTTAACAACCTCACCCCCCCTCCCCCCAACAAACAAATCCAAACCGATCTCCTCCTTTCTATTTCTTTATTTTGATAAAAAAAACGTAAAAGCTAATGTATTTTTCTGGAAGTAGTAGCTTAAGTTGATCTTCCAAATTTACATATTCTCAATCTTCAAATTTGATTTTATATGTTTGATTTTATATTTTGACCTGTTGATTAACACTATCTTACCCATTTTGACTCAATAATTTAATGGGTCATTTTGAGTTCAACTCATTGAATCAAGCCAACAAATGAGTTATGACCAAGTCGTTTAACTGTGGAGGGTTGCTAAAAATAGATTCAATAAATCACCTCAGGCTAGTATGCATATACTTCGAGTAATGCAATAGAAATGTAATTAATTAACCAATAATTTTGTAATATAGGTGGTGGAAAGATCTGAATTTTGCAGAGCAATTTCTATATGCAAGAGATAGATTGGTGGAGTGTCACTTTTATACGGTAGGAATCTACTTTGAGCCTCAATATAGTCGTGCAAGAGAAATGATGACAAAAGTACTAACCATATACACCGTTATTGATGGCACTTATGATGCTTATGCAACTTATGATGAACTTGTGCCTTTTACGGATGCAATCGATAGATGCGGGTAAGATTTTACCGTTTAAACATAATCATTCTTTTAATTCTCTCATTACGAGTAAGAAAAAATTATGTATCAGTTAAGTACGTGTTACACTTATGATGCTTGTGACTTTGGTTCAAATCCTTAACGTGCAGATGTAACATTAATGCCATTGGTTCAGTACCGCCCAGTCTGAAACCTACTTATCAAGCCCTTGTAGACCTTTATACTCAAATAGAAGAAAAATTTATCATGGAAGGTAAATTGGACCGTCTCTACTATGCAAAATATGAGGTAAGCTCCCTTAGCTTCATTTCTTTTGTATCAAACCTTACCATAGCTTCATTAATTAGTTTAATTAACTACGTTATACAGAAGAAATGAAAAGAGTAGAGAGGAAGGAAACATCCAAAATCTAAAAGAAGATATGGTATATACACTTATGAAGAATTGCGTGACTCTCTCGTCTAAAAGTTTAAACTATACTTAGAGAAAACACATATTTTACTTATTATGTCTTCAATGCGTCCTCTTACGTGCGAGCTTGATTCTTTTTCATGTGCCAAACATGCGAAAATTATTCTTGATACGGATATAAGAGCTTTGTAATGTATAATTGTGTGACCGTCTCATCTAAAAATTTAAGGTGTTTGAGAGAATACACTTTTAATTATTCACTTAATTATATATTCAACATTATATAGTTCTATATTTTTGTTTTATTCTCCTTTTAGATGAAAAAGTTGGCTAGAGCGTTTTTCAAGGAAGCAGAATGGTTAAATGCTGGCTATATTCCAAATTGTGAGGAGTATATGAAGAATGGAAATGTAACTACTACATGTATGATGGTTGCAACAACTTGCTTGAGTTTTATGGAGGAATCTATAGCCAAAGAGACTTTTGAATGGATGATGAATGAGCCTTCGATTCTTCGAGCTTCATCAGCAATCAACAGATTAAAGGGCGATTGTATTGGACATAATGTAAGTACTACACTATATTTAATTTTCAGTTCGCATTTCCTGGAAGGTGAACCTTGGCGTAACTGGTAAAGTTATATCCATGTGACCAGGAGGTCACGAGTTTGCGATGTGAAAACAGCTTCTTGAAGAAATGTAGGGAAGTCTGCGTACATTAGACCTTTGTCGTCCGGCTCTCCCCGGAGATCTTAGTGCATCGAGTTGCCTTTTTTTGCATCTTCCCCCCCCCCCCCCCCAAAAAAAAAAATTGTATAACCATTTCATCTAAGAGCTTAAGTCGCAGAGTGAATTACTTTTTTATTTATTTAATTATATTCTCAATGCCCCTCACATATAATATTTGTATTGAATATTGAAATCTATTGACTACAGTTGGAACAACAACGGAAGCATATAGCTTCATTCATAGAATGCTACATGAAAGAATTTAGAGGTTCAAAACAAGATGCATATGCTGAGGCTCAAAAGAGAATCACTAATGCATGGAAAGACATGAACAAGGACTTCCTTTGTTCTACTCATGACGAAGTACCAACGTTTGTTCTCGAACTAGTTATAAATATTGCACGTCTGGCATATATTTTTGAAGAAAATGATTTTGCAAGTGCCAAAGCGAATTTAAAGACAAGATTACGCTGTTGTTTGTTGAACCTGTCAATGTTTGAGGATATTTTGGAGCATAATCTAGTTTGAGAACATAGGAATAACAGAAGTACTTCTATTACCGAGTAATGGTGAAAATGATGTATTAATTTGTATACTAGTAATGTTTGAGAATAAATTTCTTCAGTTTTATTAAGAACACTACTAGTAAAGGGCAAATTTTCGACCATCAAAACGGTCGCAAATCGAATTTTTCTGATGGAATACCGACCAAAAAGTGACACTACTAGAAAAGGGCTAATTTTAATAAAGTGCAGCAATGAAGTCGTACTGAAGCCCATTTGCCTTTCTTTTATTTCTATGTTTGCTACATTACTTTCAAGCCTTGAACGACTTGAAGTAGTCAAAGGGGCAAGTGCACGTTTAGTCATTTTCAGGGGTGCTATTTAGAGATTAGCCAATACTTATTTTGTCCTGAATTTTAAAATAAAATCCTAACTTCAAGATAATTCAGGATATTTTCGTCCCGAAAATTTGAACTAAAAAACTGAAATTCATAACGCACTGGCTAATTCTTAAATAGCAGCCCTTTAGAGTGGCTACCTGGTGTCATTTCTACGTAGTCAAACTAGTAAACGTGGTTATGTTCAAAATATAGGCTATAAATTAAATACTTGCAATGCATAGAAGAATATACTCTGTGCTAGTATACTATTACCTAATTTTTAAGTGAGAGATCAGTACAATTAATTACTAACCTAATATGTCGCCACATTAAATGTCTCTAATTAAAAAGCTTTAGTTTCATACATTTTCAACTTAATCCAACTCAAAAAGAATCCAAAACTACGAATATACTGACTATAGTCGTTAACGAAAAAATTGTTGTTGGTATTTTGCGCAAAATGAATTAAAAAAGAGCTGGTATTAATAATTTCCTCTTTCAGTGTCGACTTAGATAATAAGATCTAAAGTTTTTTTCATGTAAATACTTGGAATTATACTTTTCTTGTCCGTATTTTACCTTCTAAAAGAAATTCCCAATGAGGCCCCACTGAATCCACCGGAGTGACGAGGCCTCTTGTCAGACCCCTGACCACTCCCCTGAGCTAAAACCATCTCAATTTGTCTGGCCACATTGGCTGCATCCTGGAAAGAAATCTCGCTCCCTGTCTCCTTAGCCATCTGCAATCTGATAGACTGAGCAAGTCCCTCAATAAACCTCCTCACCCTCTCTCTCTCGGTAGGAAGTATAAGAAGAGCATGACGGGCCAAATCAATAAAGCGGGTCTCGTACTGAGTAATGGACATGCTGCCCTGCTGAAGGCGCTCGAACTGCCTGCGATAGTCCTTTCTCAGTGTAACAGGAAGGAACTTCTCGAGCAATAGCTAAGAGAACTGGTCCCAAGTCAAAGCAGGCGACCCAGCTGGTCTGGCCAAACAAAAATCCCTCCACCATTTCTTGGCAGAACCTGACAGACGAAAGGCAGCAAAGTCGACCTCATTGGTCTCCACTATCCCCATGTTATGTAACACCTCATGACAACTGTCCATATAGTCCTGGGGATCCTCTGAAGATGTACCGCTGTAGTGAGTGGTGAAAAGCTTGGTAAACCTATCCAATCTCCACAAAGCCTCAGAAGACATAGCTTATCCTTCGCTGGTCTATGCTGCAACACCCTGCGGAACTACCCCAACTGGCTGAGCTGCTGGAGTCTGAAACTGGGGAGCCATCTACTCCGGAATATGAATAGAGGGAGTCTGGGCTCCTCCCCCAGCCTGAGAGACGGCTGGTGCTACATGCAATGTGCCGGTCTGAGCGACACTCTCCATAAGGCCTACTAGACGGACCAAAGCATCCTGAAGTACCGGGGTGGCGATGAACCCCTCTGGAACCTGAGCTGGCCCTGCTGGAACGGTCTGGGCTGTAGCCTCCACATCAAACTCTACCTGAGGCTCCACCGCTGGTGCTGCTGCTCGAACTTCGGGCTGAGCCCTGCCCCTGCCTCGACCTCTAGCACGGCCTCGGCCTCGTCCTCTGCCCCTCGCAGGAGCTGCCATAGGGGCTCTGGCTGCTGCTCGGCTGAAGAAGCGGTATGTGTTCTCGCCATCTGCGAAAGAACACTATAAAAAACGGGTAAATTACAGAGGTTTATTTGCGGGGGTATAAGTAACCTCCGCAATTTGCATACTTTTGCAGCAATATATTAGCCCCATAAAATTATACAATTTACGGGGTTCTAAAACTTCCGCAACCCTAAAATAATAGTGGGTAATTTATTTTACACTCCCTCCTTTTTTTCCCAATCTTTTCAGAAACTTCCGCCTTTCCCAATCTTTACTCTCTTCTTTCTCTGATTTTCACTCTTAATTAAAAAGAAACTCAGCCTTCCATGCTCTCCTCTTTCTGCTTGCCTTCTTCTTCCATGAATCTCGTTTGGGATTCATGAAGTAATTTCTTTTTACTTTAATGAGATTTTAATGTTAAGATTTGAAATTGGGGTTTTAAGAATACAATTTCAATTTGCCCAAACAACTAAAAGGCACGGCTCATACAGATCTGTGGAATTTCGTTCTGGTCTTGGAATTTTTTTGGACTACAAGAGGAAAGAAGCACTGTGGGTGGCAAAGAAGTTGCATATTGAGAGGTAATGGATGTACAACCATCTTTCTTCTTCCCTACATCTTTTATCTCTCATATCTATGGAAAATAAGCATCTTTCATACAAAATCAAGGATTCTTATAAGAACAGGTCTAGCAGATTTTTGAAATCTCACTAGCATACAAACGTTGGTTTGCATTTGAATTTTCAGATACTTGGATGTCTGAAATTTACATTTGAATTACACTAGCTTCTTTCCTTTCTGAAATCTCACATTCTCTATGAAATAAAATCCAACTAGTTCATACAAAGTCTAGCAGATTCTTATAAGAACAAATTCATACAAAAAGATTCATAAGCCATTTTGGTTAATATCAATTTTTCATATGGATTGTTATGAAAAAAGAAAACTATGGATTTTCAATTTTAGATGCTTTGTTAATTTAAGTATTCTAGCATCTGGCGCTCTCAGATTTTGTACCAGATTTTTCCTACATTTGTACCAGATTTTTCCTACATTTGCACCCTAATTTCATACATTTGTACCATATTTTCCTTTCTTCATTGTTAATTGAAGTATTCTTTTAATAGTTGTGAATAATTTTGAAAATTTATATGCAATTTTATGCATGCACGTATGACAAATCAGCTTTGGGTGCATTAGGAATGAGGTTTCTATTTAGTGTTTTGAGAGGACTCAAATTTTCCAGTATTTTGGTTCCAATTGGTGTGAGGTTAACAGTGGAATTGTTCAATTTGTCAAATATTTTTCTATTTCGAGTATAATTTTTGTTGTTTTGATCAAATAGGACAGGAAGACTGATTTATTGAAAAATATAATCGAAGATTTTGGGATTCTATCGATATCAGAGGTAAGAAATTTATTTTTGTACATTGCAGTACTATATTCACTTCTTCCACATATAGTAGAAGATTTTGTACGTCTCAATTCATGTTTAAGTAATTATTTGTTCTTTCAAGTTGTTTAGTAATGTGTACATCTTTAGTCCTCAAATAACTTACATGTCTCTTGACTTTATTTTCTATCATGATGCTTATAGTTTGTTGACTTACTTGTCTTTGAATCTACTTATTATTGTTGGGAGATATGACTATGACTATGCAAATGCATTCTTTATTTTGGGATTTTCAAGTTTGGTAGTGTTTTTGATTATAGATGGCTTTTGTTGTATGTATTATTGCTTCATAATCATTATTATTATGTATGCTAATAATAGAGAACTGATATTTTCTCTTTATATTCTGAAAGGTTCAGCAGCTGCACTTGAAAGATAATTCTTTCCTATGGATAAATCTTGGATTATAAAACCAAGGAATACCACTGAGTATTTGTTTGGGTTAAATAAGTTTTTAGATTTTGCATTTGCTAATGCTGTTATGGGAGATAGAATAAAATGTCCTTGTCCTAAATGTGGATTCGCAAAGTGGCAGACTAGAGATGTAGCGTTTGATCATTTGGTATGCAAACCATTCCCTCAAAATTATGTCACTTGGAGTATTCATGGTGACAGAATTGTATTGACAACTTATTCTTGGCAACTACAATGCTCAAGCAGATAAGCCTATCATATGACAGTTTTCATGTGAGTATCATGAAAACTACAATGCTCACGCAGATAAGCCTTTCAATATCCAGGTACAAGGACTTATAAAGAATCTTTCAGACTTTTTTTTTCTTTGCAGTAATATTTTCAGAATATACTATATGGTAAATATTGATATGACAAATGACGATATAATTTTATCGTTCGCACGATGCCTGACTCTTTAAGACTAACTATTCACACTTGTCTCTGCATATATTAACTTCAGTGACATATTGCTTCTAATACATGAGTGTATATCAAAACGACAACGAAAGAGAGAAGCTTTCCATTGGATTAAAGTCATATATGTTTTACACTTATCTACTGGAACTTGCTCCTTATTTTTAGGAAGTTGTCATGTGTCTAAGTCAATAATGAACTTCTGCAATTGGTTTGTTTGATCTGAAGCCAGATTTTCAGGGAAAAGGGCATATATAAGTACATCATATATACAATAGTCTAATGGACAGATTTATTAACATTCATATGTTGAAGTAGGACTTTTCATCTTATTCATAATTTGTAAAGATCAACTTGCAAAATGTTGACATGTTGTGTTATAGTCTGCAGACTACTGAAATTACAGCTAACTGCTTGAACAAAATATCCTACATATTAACAGCTAGTTGTGAATTATAGAATATAGCTGAGACAAAGTGCAAGAATAAGTATATTTTGAAAATACTTATGTCATGATTTGTTCTAATGATTAACCTACTTAAAGAAGGTTATGAAGTGTTGGACCTTTAGGGAGAATGATAAAACAAGTGCATATGCCCAACTTTGTCAACTACTGATGCTCTAGGCTACTGATTGCACCTTATGGCAGGAAATAGATTATTATTGCGAAGCGTAATAGTAACAGATTTATAATGTTGGCTTAGATTTTTTTAATGTGTATTGTGTTTAAGAAAAAATTGAGCTAGCAGTGAGTGAAAGTACAGTGGATGAGTCTGAAATTTCTCCAAATGATGATGTTGGTAAGGTGCTAGGCAAAGAGCATCCTGGAAGGGTGAGATGTTTGGGATTAGCAGCTACTCCAAGCAATACTTTCAGAGAGATAAATCTTCGTCTTGGTAATATTAGAATTGTGAGTAATAATGTTGGATGTTCTTCTTCTGGATGCCAAGAAAAGTACAATCAATTGATGAGTACTCTCAAGGCATACATGATAATGAAGGAAGGGTCAATACCAGAACAATTTGCTGAGATCTTTGCTTCTCTTCCTACAACGGTAAATGCTAAGTTCTTTTATTTTTGGTGTATTGTGCAATTTTATTTTTTATTTGTGAAGTGCTGAGAATCACCATGATAACTGGTGCGACTATAGAGTTTTGGGACTCCATAGTCACTATGAAAAATCAACAATTTGTCTATCCTTTTCCACCTAACAAGCCGGAGAACCACAATTAATATGTAAGCAGATTGCTGCATAGAATCCTTTCCAATTTAATCATGTACTCATTCCTTCACGTTTCAAATTTGACATGTAGAAATGGCAAGAATATTACAATGTGGGAATGTAGATGTAACTTGAATTTTTCTCTAAGGGACCAAATCTGACTTGTATTTCTGGGCTTTCAAGCAATAAGCAGATTACTACAATGAATACTACTCTAAACACTTTATACACTAGTAGAAAGAACTTGCATAGAATCTTAATGTAGAGTACTTACATGATAGAATCCTAAAATAGAATTCCACAGTATGATCCATGACTGAATTCTCATAAGTAATGTCTTTGGCACAAGAAGACTCAATGGAACTTCAAGTAATATCTCCAAGTAGCAAAGTGTATTTTATTTCTCATTGAGATAATTTTATTTTATCTCAATGACTTGTTTCCTGATACTCATTTTAATAGTTGTATTTTTTTTTTTACTTTTTGTTGCAGCCAAGTGATGCAGCTAGTGTACCCGTTTCACCGACAGATGCAAGAACATCTTCTAGCGCAAGTAATCCCAATGACAACCATTGAGATTCATTTTAATTGAAGTGGATGTATTAGGACAATGTAATAGCTGACTAATATAGATGGTTAACTATGTTCTAATTTAGTTTGATGACATATGATACTATTGTGTAATAGTATTTTTCACGGTTAATGAAATGTTGATGTTTCTTAATTTTAATGTTTTGGTTTAAGCATAAATATTTCAATTGATATTAGGAGAAAAGTATGGCAAATTGATGATAAACAATCAATTTTATAATATATTTAAAAATAGATGGGGATAAAACCCCCAAAAAGAAATTGAACAGATGCTGATGGTCTACACATAAGAAATTGCGGGGGTTTACAACCCCTACACTCAAAAAGAAGTTAAATTTTAAAAATAAAAATCTATTTTCATGCATGAAATTGCGGAGGTTAAAATTGCAATTTGCGGAGGTTAGAAACCTCCGTGATTCTAACCTCCGCTAATTGCTGTCACGTTACCCGTTTTTTTATAGTGGAACAAGAGTAGAGAATTCAATTAGCATTGAGAGATCAAATCGCACGACAGATAAGAATAGAAGTGAAATTGTTCCTAAACTCTGTAGCCTCTGGGGGATAAGCACGGACGTCTCCGTACCGATACCTCAGACTCTACCTAGCTTGTTCGTGAATTGTGAGACCTAGGCAACCTAGTGCTCTAATACCAATTTGTCACGATGCGGATTTCCGACCGCCGGGACCGTGATGACGCCTAACTTTTCGGATGCTAGGCAAGCCAACAGTTAAAGATTCAATACGCTAACTCTTTACCAAATCATTAAATAACAACAATTAAACCAAACCAAATTTAAAGAGTGCGGAATTTCATAATAACCCAAGTGCTTATACACAACTAGCCAGAAACTGGTGTTACAATTCACCAACTTCTAAGAGTTACTACAAATACTGGCTGAAAGAAAATACAATTGTCTTTGAATTAAAAGAAAATAGTAAACTGGAATAACTGGAAAGGGATTCCAGGGTCTGCGAACGCCGGCAGATCTACCTTGGGTCTCCTGTGGGTCTGAAGGCAGCAACTCAACTCGGGTCAACACGGTCCAATACCGAGATCTGCACAACAAGTGCAGAGTGCTATATTAGTACAACCGACCACATGTACTGGTAAGTACCGAGCCAAACCTCGGCGAAGTAATGAGGAGGCTAGGACAATACACATACATAAACCTGTGCAGTTAAACAATATGCTAGCAAGATAACAATTAATAGAAGCTAAGCAAAAATTAGCGGGAGGGGGAAAACATGCTATGGGGGTACCAAAATAAAGAAACACAGCAGTAGAGGAATTTAAACATCTAGTACACTTTGAACCGGTAACAACAAGTAAACACAGCAAACGAAAAATGCACGGCATCACCCTTCGTGCTTTTACTCTCAACCTCACAAGATAATCAATAATAGAATCGTGCACGGCATCACCCTTCATGCTTTACCACTCAACCTCACCATATGAATAATAGAAATGTGCACGGTATCACCCTTCGTGCTTTATCACTCTTCCTCACCACATAAGTAATAGAAACATGCACGACATCATCCTTCGTGCTTTATCACTCTACCGCACCAAAACAGAGACAACAATAATAGAGATATAGAAATGGCAACAACACGTCTTACTTCAACACTTAGTTCCGCAATACCAATCTCAACTTTGGGTAAAAACCCCATCAATACCAGATTTCATAAAAACATGGTAAGAAACTTCTCAACACATCGAATAACTAGTCTACACATGAACAATATGATCAAAAATACAACATTTCCAAGAATAAGACTCACTCATATGTTATGAATCGACAACAACGCATAGATACTCATTACCTCACCTATACGTTGTAGTCAACATCCAAACACGTAACAAGTAAGCAAATAACACCTAATCCCTCAAGCTAAGGGTAGCCACGACACTTACCTCGCTCCTTCGGCCAAACTCAAGCCTCAAACACCGCTTTTCCCTTCACACAAGCCTCCGGACCAATAGAATCTAGCAAATTATCAACCAAACAATTCAATTTAAGCCTTGGGAACTACCCAATGGAAGGAATTCAATTTAGGCCATTTTTGAAAAAGTCAACAGAAGTCAACACCCGGGCCCACTTGGTCCAAACACGAAATTCAGACCAAAACCTGTTTACCCATTCACCCCCGAGCCCGGATATATAATTGGTTTTGGAATCCGACCTCAATTTGAGGTCTAAATCCCCAAATTTTGAAATTTCTAATTTCTACACAAAATTCCCCAATTCCACCATGAAAACCCTAGATTCTAGGATGAAATCTTGTTAAAAAAAGTGAAAGATTGAAAGAAATGAGTTAAGAATCACTTACCTATAATTTGGGAAAGAAATGGTCTTTGGAAAATCGCTTCTTGAGGTTTAGGTTTTGAAAAATGGAAGAAAGAATGAAAAATCCCGTCCAAAATCGTTTTTGAACAGTTGCAGGTATTGCATTTGCGATCAGGGGTTCGCATTTGCGAACCCTGCAAATGCGAACTTTACTTCGCAAATGCGAAGACTGACCTAGGCCTGCTAACCTCGCAAATGCGGCCTGAGCTGATCACAGTTGCGATCCTGAGCTTCGCAATTGCGAAGGTCTCCTCCCCCCTACTGCTCGCAAATGCGAGGCTCACGTTTGCGAGCCAAACCTCGCAATTGCGAGAAGTCTACAGAGCTGAAGCATACCAGCAATTTTTCATGAGTTCAAATCACTCCGTAGCCTACCCGAAACTCACCTGAGCCCTCGAGGCTCTAAACCAAACATGCACACAAGTCTTAAAACATCATACAAACTTGCTCGTGCGATCAAATCGCCAAAATAACATCTAAAACTACGGATTTAACACCAAAACACATGAAATTCTTAAGAACACTTTGAAATTCTTATTTTCACTACTGGACGCCCGAATCACGTCAAATCTACTCCGATTTTCACCAAACTTCACAAACATGACTTAAATATTATATTAAACTTGTACCAGGCTCCAGAACCAAAATACGGGCCCGATACTAAAGAGATCAAACATTAATCAATTTCTTTAAATCATTAGATTTTCAGTCTTACAATTTTCATCAAAAATTCATTACTCGGGCTAGGGACCTCCGAATCCGATTCCGGGCATACGCCTAGGTCCCATATTTCAATAGGACCCACCGGGGCTGTCAAATTATGAGTTCGGGTCCGTTTACTCAAAAAATTGACCGAAGTCAACTAAATCAATTTTTAAAGGCAAAAATTATTATTTTTCTCAAATTTCCACATAAAGGCTCTCCGAAAACGTGCTCGGACTGCACACACAAATCGAGGAGGAATAAAATGAGGTTTTGAAGGCCTTATAACACGGGATCCAGTTCTAAAACATGAGATGAGCTTTTGTGTCATCACATTCTCCACCTCTAAAACAACCGTTTGTCCTCGAACGGACATAGAAAAGTACCTGAGCTGGGAAAAAGGTGGGGACATCTGCTCCGCATATCGGACTCGGACTCCCAGGTAGCTGCCTCAACAGGCTGACCTCTCCACTGCACCCGAATCAAAGGATAACTCTTCGATCTCAACTGACGAACCTGCCGGTCTAAAATGGCCATCGGCTCCTCCTCGTAGGTCAAATCCTTGTCCAATTGGACAGTGCTGAAATCTAACACGTGGGATAGATCGCCGTGATACTTCCGAAGCATGGACACATGAAACACTGGATGTACTGATGATAAACCTGTTGGCAACGCGAGTCTGTAGGCAATCTCTCCCACTCGATCAAGAATCTTAAAAGGCCCGATGAACCTAGGGCTTAACTTGCCCTTCTTCCCAAATCTCATTACGCCCTTCATGGGCGACATCTGAAGCAACACTCTCTCTCCGACCATGAATGCAATAACACGAACCTTATGGTCGGCATAATATTTTTGCCTGGACTGAGTTATACGAAGTCTATCCTGAATGATCTTAACCTTATCCAAGGCATCCTGCACGAAATCTGTACCTAATAACCGAGCCTCCCCCGGCTCAAACCACCCAACCGGTGATCGACACGTCTACCATATAATGCCTCAAAGGGATCCATCTGGATGCTTGACTGATAGCTGTTGTTGTAGACAAACTTTGCCAACGGCAAGAACTAATCTCAAGAACCTCCAAAGTCAATAACACAGGTGCAGAGCATATCCTCCAAGATCTGAATAATACGCTTGGACTGTCCGTCCGTCTAAGGATGAAATACTATGCTCAACTCGACCCGCGTACCCAACTCACATTGTGTTGCCCTCCAAAAATGCGAGGTAAACTACGTAGCTCGATCAGAAATGATAGACACGGGCACACCATGAAGACGAACGATCTCACGGATATAAATCTCTGCCAACCACTTCGAAGAATAGGAAACTGCCAGAGGAATGAAATACGCTGACTTTGTTAGCCTGTCAACAACAACCCAAACTGCGTCGAACATCCTCTGAGTCCATGGGAGTCCAAAAACGAAATCCATAGTGATACGCTCCCACTTCCACTCAGGAATCTCTATCTTCTGAAGCAAACCACCAGGTCTCTGATGCTCGTATTTTACTTGCTACCAATTTAGACACCGAGCTACATATGCAACAATATCATTCTTCATCCTCCTCCACCAATAGTGCTGCTGCAAGTCCTGATACATCTTGGCAGCACCTGGATGAATATAATACCGAGAACTGTGGGCCTCCTCTAGAATCAACTCGCGAAGCCCATCTACATTAGGCACACAAACACGACTCTACATCCTCAAAACTCCATCATCTCCAACCGTAACCTTCTTGGCATCACCGTGCCGCACTATGTCCCAAAGGACAAGCAAATGAGGGTCATCATACTGTCACTCCCTGATGCGCTCAAACAAGGAAGACCGAGCGACTGTGCAAGCTAAAACACGACCGGGCTCAGAAACATCCAACCTCACAAACTGATTGGCCAAGGCCCGAACATCTAATGCAAACGGTCTCTCACCGACTGGAATGTACGCAACGCTGCCCATACTAGCTGACTTCCTACTCAAAGCATTGGCCACCACAATGGCCTTCCCAGGATGATACAAGATGGTGATATCATAGTCTTTCAATAGCTCCAACCACCTTCTATTCCTCAAATTGAGCTCCTTCTGCTTTAACAAAT